AAAGATAAATAAAGAAAAAACTAAAATGCTCGTCAAAAACATGACCAAAATCCAGGAAAATGAATTGGTTGACAGAATAGGTGTTCAAATTACAAACAAAGTTAGATATTTAGGGATACAACTGTCTGCCAGATGCGTTACACTTAAAAGGGATAATTACGATAAATTAATAGAACAGATCCAAAAAGATCTTGATATTGTGCTTAATCTTTAAGGATTAACGTTTCCCTATAAGGTCAGCAAAATTGACATTAGATTTAGATTTAGACATGAGTGCTCTAAAGCCATTGATATATGTTGATCTGTTGGAGTAGAATCTAGAAAATCTGTGTTGTAATGCTGCCTTAGACATGGAAGCCAACTGGGTGGGCCAATCACTGTCTTGCAGCCCTAGGGAGAGGACAGTGCCAAACCACTTGAAATACTGTATGTTGTTAGATTAACTGCATGGATGTGTGCATCTCCTTTTTCCAAGAATTATGTTTGACTGAACAGAAAAAAAGACTTAGAAGTGTGTTTACAATGCTGTGAGAACTACAGCACTAGAGCCTGCATATTTTTGTCATATTATTTTTATTCAACTGCATTTCAGCATATGAGTGCATTTCAACTCTAATTCAGGAATAGGTTTATTGGTTTGCTTATTTCTACAATAATTCAGTTATATAGCATGCTTCATACATTCTGAGTTAAATATATACTGTACATGTCTCAGCCACTAAAATCAACAGGATTTATAATTCAATGTCGTTAACTGTACAAAATAAAAATGTGTACTCAACAAAACAATTAATTTTAAAAGCACAGAAAAGCAAGAATTTGAAACTTACAGAAAATAGTACAGTCATAAAGAACCACTTGCTGCCAATTGTTCACTTGTGCTTCTAATTTTTCCAGGGGAAAAGTATGGAACTCATCTAATACAGATATTCAGATTCCGATGCATGATTCCAATGGCTTACTATATGCTGATCTGTGCAATATGGATAAATTTTCAAGCAGTTTTATAACCGAAAGCAAGAAAAAAAATACACTTTTTAAGACAATTTTATGAGTTACTTTGTGATCAAGAAGTGTGACTAAATATCTTTTAACAGCAATATCACTTAGTTATGTACCATTTCATAGTGCTTTACAGCACTCTCCAAGTGGTTTACAGAATCAGCATATTGCCCCCCTGGGACCTCATTTCACCTCATAAAGATGGAAAGCTGAGTCACCCTTAAGCCAGTCAAGAATGTGGGCAGAGTTAACCTGCAGTACTACATTCTAACCACTACACCACTATAGCTTTTAAAACAGCAGTTCTCAACCTATGGGTCGCGACCCCATTTGGGGTCGATCAACCATTTCACGGGGGTCGCCAAGCAAGGTTGTCCACCATTTTTTTCCCCTTTTCCGGCAGGTGCCTTACCTCCCTTGAGCTGGGCCAGCTGGTGGTCGGCCTGCTCCGTCTCTGCTGCTTGCCAGCTACGCCTCGGCCGGCGCAGGGGGCGAAACCACGCATGCGCAGCGCTCCCGGGCAGGGAAAGTCCTCAACTTACGACCGGTTGGGTAGTCCTCGACTTACAACCGGTTTAGTCCTCGACTTACGACCGGTTGGGGGTCATGGCATTAAAAAGGTTGAGAACCACTGTTTTAAAATATCCTTTAATTCACTTTACAAATTCTATCAGGGTTATCTTTTATTTGTTATATATCCTTATTGTTCAATAATATCTGGAAGAAAATTTTAGCTTTCTTTTTTCTTTCCTATAGTAGAGGTGCTCCTGACACCATAAAATTCTGTATTAACAAGTTGTTTGACTATTTCACCTTCTCTTAATTACATTTCAGTAATTTTCTGTTTAGTTTATCATATGTATTTGACTAAATTAACAGACCATTTGTACCAAATTCTAGCTTTCTCTTTGAAGACCATGTTCCTTGTTTGAAAACTGATTTTTTTCACTTTTTATTATCCATATTCCTATTAACTCTGCATCTTAGAGCCAGTGCGTCAATGTATTCCTTGCACAATTTGAGTGATCAAATAATTTAATGCAAGTTAATTAAACTGCTAAATTAATTCATTTGGAGTGTCCACTCTTAAAACCAACTTCTTTCTTTATAAGAAAATAAAAGGAAGAAAAGTATTCTGATATCTTCTACTTCCTCAAAAGCCTTTAAATCAGTATTTTGTGAGCTCCTGGTATGCCTTCTTAAACACTGTTACCCCTTCCCCTGCAATTGGCTGTGATGGCTGGTGTGGCATGAACAGTAGGGATGGGAGAATATGATTTATAATTTATTTCAAAGCAATCAGCAAACATATTGAAAAACAGAAAAGTCTTCTCCCTAAATAGATAGTTGATTTTTTTTTGGACTCCCTGGTGCAGGTTCCCACTGAGAATGTAATGTTGCCAAAGCAAAATTTCTTGTTTTGAGTAAGGTGTTAGTTATAGAACTGGCAGAGTAATAAATCAAAAAGAAGCATGGAATAAATCATAAACTCACTATTTACAAAATATAGAGGATAATTTAACAAATATTCTAATGTACCTAACTTTTGTCTCCAATCCATGAAGATGTGGGATTTTTAAAATTTATTTTCACTTTTTTTTTTCTTTTTATGACCCTGTAATCCCTTGCATCAGGATGGGGTTGAGGTGGGCTCAGGATGACTGAATGAAGCTGAGCATTTACTGGCCAGATGCCCACCGGATGCCTACCTGATGTTTCCAACAGATATTTTATCTTTTGCACCCTGATAGAGAAACAACTGTTGCTGCCTAGGATTGAACTCTCAACCGTCTGAGTGGGAGGTGAGAGTCTTTACCTCTAGGCCACTGCACTGCTCTTATTTTCACTAATATGTTTTTCAAATTCTGTCAATATATTCCCCACAGTAAAAGACTCATATATTCTTCAGAAGCTTTAAGTAACCTATACTTTTACATTTACTATCATCACCACAGCTCATCGCCGAGTGGTTCAGAAATTATTTGGAGAAAGATATTCTAAGTAAATTAAGAAAGAAAATTAAGAAATAAAATTAAAATTCTGGTATCCTCCAATTTGTCTGGTTTTTTTTCCAGTGTAAATATGCAAGCTGTAGTTTCCCTCTCAAATTATGTGTAAAACTCATTATTTTAACTAGATAAGAGTATTAAAACTACCTACATCTATACTTGGCTGTTGGTCAGAAATAGCAATTTTGCTAATCACAATAAAAATAAGACCTCATTCTTTCAGTCTTTGTAGGCTGTAGTTTCTTCTTCAAACAGTGAATAAGATTAAGTAGATTTACATATTTCTTTATGTAATTTTTCAAATTTCCATAATAAACAATTGACCTATATTAGTAGGCTAACCAAAACTTTAGGCATTGTTTCTATAATAATGATTTCTAATTTGAGATCTTTCATATCTAAGTGAACTCTTCATTCCTCTTCATTGAAGGAATTTTCTAAAAGAATGTTAGAACTCCTGGAATCACATGGTACAAAACTTACAACTACTTCAGATTTTACAATACACGCTAATAAATCAATCCAAAAATGTTCTTTCCCAGAGTCTCATAAAGGCACCTTTCACTTCTTTGTTCCTCAAACTGTATATGACAGGATTTAAAGCAGGGCTAATGATTGTATGAAAAAGGGAAAGGTATTTGTCTGTATTTGGAAAATAAGAGGAATTGGGTTTCATATACTTAATACAAGCAGAACCAAAGAATAAGGTCACAACAATGAGATGTGAAGAGCAAGTGGAGAAAGTCTTTTTCCGGCCCTCAGAGGATGAGATCTTTGAAATGGCAGCAATGATTCCAGAGTAAGACATTAAAATCAGAAGAAAAGGAAAAGTTGCAAAAATCACTACAACTATGAAATCAGTTATTTCAATCCTAAACGTGTTCCCACAAGCCAATTTCAGTAATGGAGGAATGTCACAAAAATAATGATTGATAACATTAGAATTACAAAAAGGCATTGTGAAGACCATAGTTGTATGGCCAAAGGACATGAAAAACCCACTTAACCAAGAGGCTACAGCTAAACTAGTATAAATTTTTTGCCCCATCAGGACAGAGTAATGGAGAGGCTTGCAAATGGCAATGTAACGATCATAAGCCATTGAGGCCAAGAGGAAACATTCTGTTCCACCCAAAAACAATGCAAAATAATTCTGTAGAGCACAACCCAAAAAAGAGATGGATTTATTCCCTGAGCAGAAATTGGCAAGCATCTTGGGGACAATAGCTGATGTGAAACATATCTCAAGGAAGGATAGATTCCTTAGAAAAAAATACATGGGTGTATGTAGGGTTTGATCAACCAATGTAAGGAGAATGATTAAAAGATTTCCGGTCAAGGCGTTGATGTAAATTCCCAGAAAAATCGAGAAAAGTATGCTTTGTAAATAGAACTCTTCAGAAAGACCCAGGAGGATGAATTTGTTTGGTGCTGTGCTGTTTTGTAAAACATTTTCTTTCTTTATATGCATCCTGGAAAAGAAAATCAACCATCCATTAATCTCATAAATTAAAATTTGGTTTTATTCAATTCAGTTATGTGTGAAATCATATTAAGGCTTAGTAATATTAAACTTGGGACTTTGGATAAATCTATGGTGTATCAATGCAATTTGGCCAATTTCTGCTTATCAGACAGCTGATGAACTGCTCATACATGTACTACCTGCAAGTAAAAAAAAACATTGTTATGACAAGAGCACTCCTGTTTTCTCCAGTTAGAATGTTCAATCTGATGAAACATTCATTCATCATTCCAGTATAAGGCATCTTAAGAAGAGTTACAAGAGTCCAGTACATAAAGAAGGACTTGTTTGCATTTCTCTAAAATGTTATCTTTAACACCAAACTTTTTATTAAAAACAAATATAACCAGTGCCTTAATCTCATGCCATTAGATTAACTACTCTCAGCACTCAACACAATAAAGAAAATGTTTTCCCTAATTATAATAATATCACAACCTATTTGAGTCTAATTTTCAGTTTATTTTTTATGTTAAGAATCATTTCTTTGGAAAATTGAAGTGTATTTTATTTTAGGACAATACATTTTAACAATAATCAGTGCCTTCAGGACTGGAAGATTCAAGGATTTTTAAACAAAATAAACCTATTACAGATATTTCTAGGTTTCAAAAGAAATGGAAGTATAAAGTATAAATTATAAAAAGTATAATAAGAAACTGGAATATCTGATACAGGAAATGATTTTGCAACCCAATTTCATGTTTCTATTGTTTGAAATGTTTCTTTCAAGAGAAAAATCACCTGTATTGGAGACCTACACATGTTTTTTAGGAAAAAACATGACTTAGCTATTTTGGGAAGTGAAACTTAAAATACACCACTATTTTACCTGTTTTACAGGATCTCTTCTCATATATTTAATGTATAATGTTACTATTTGTTTTTATGGATGCTTTTTTTCTCTTTCTATATCAACTGTTTTGGAACTAATAGGAAGCAAAAAGGAAAAAAAACTATGTGGGAGGTGGTTCTTTCTTATCAAGTAGGAGCTCATATCCTCTTGTAATTCCAAAAAGTATTTTAATATCAGAAATCCTATTGTTTTCTTTTTGTTAAGCAAAATGATATAAATATCAATATTGTAACTGTATAAAGCAGGGGACTGTGGATTCTACACTCCCCCCATGCTTAGGCATAAAAAAACTAGCTGTGTAGCCTTGGGCCAATCACTCTCTCTCAATCAAAACCATTCACAGGATTGTTGTTTTGGGGAAAATAGGAGATGAGAAAATTATGTATGCAAGCCATCTTGAGTCATATATAAAAATGGCAGAATGAAATAATAATGATGATGCCACCACAAAAGTGGCATGACAAAATAGCAACAATGGTGCATTGGAATAACTGCAAGAAATACATTTGCTTGCAAGCAAAAACTGGACAGATCACAAAATAGACAAAGTAATAGAAAATGAACAAGTTCAAGTGCTTTGGGATTTTAGAATTCAAATAGACCACCACCTCCCACATGACATCCCAGACTTAACAATTGTCAATAAGAAAGACAAAATAGTCTGGATGGTGGATGTTGCAGTACCTAGAGAAGAAGAAGAGAAGAGAAAGAACTGGGGGGGGGGGGGGAATCACAAAATACAAAGATCTGCAAATAGAAGTAGAACAACCATGGATTAAAAAAAAGCAAAACAAATACCAATAGCAATAGGTGCCTTGGCTGCAATCCCCAAAACTGCAGCATTACTAGAATACCATTGCTATCAGCAAGTCAACATCAGTCAATTGCAAAAGGCAACTTTACTCAGAACAGCTTACATCCTGCACTGATACCTTTAACACCATCAAATAACAACATCTGTATATCCTAAATTCTTAGAAAGATCACGATAGGTTGATAAAAATGCCAAATTCAGTCTAAACATCTAGCTGTCTTTGTGAAAAATAATAATAACAGCAACCATGGGGAGAAAATTTTCAACTTTCTTTTTTTCTACGATAGTGATGCTTATGACATCATTAAAAGAAGAACCTGCACTTGTTAAGTTTATGAAGAAGTTCAAATTCCCCTAAAGAAATTTCAGTAAATTTTCTATTTAGTTTTTATCATACATGATTGCTAAACTTCAACAGATAAGTTGTACAGATAATATCTGACTTTCTTTTTAGAAACTCAGCGCCTACATCCTTGAAAAAGTTGTGAAAAAGGATAAACCAAAAAGATGACTATAATAATATGTGTCTAATACCAGTCCCACTTAGAATGATCTATTAGAACATTATGCCATTATCTATGTGATATTGGAGTTCACACAAAAAGTCCCCCTTAAGTCACTGAAACTGATTTCAATGTAGACCTGCACAGGATTGTACTAACAAATACTTGATTTTCTTCAGTCTGCAGGTTTATATTTTCTTTTGTTGTTTCATTATCCACTGCCATGCCACAAATAATTTGATTTGTATGTAGGTCTCAAAGCACTGCACAGCCAGTCTATATTTATCCTGTTTGCACATACCAAGTTTAGATGTTCTCACCTATTTCCAGTTTTTGTCATACATATTCCAACAAATTATGTAGCTTAGAAATAGTGTCTCAATACATTCATTTCACAATTTGAGTAACCAAATAATTGAACGCAAGGTAATTAAACTACTAAATTAACCTTCCTTTGTGTCCAGTCTTAAAACTTCTCTTTCAATAAAAACAATTGAAGGAAAATGTTCTGATACTTTCTACTTCCTTAAGCAGCTTTTAATTCTGTATTTGTGAGAGTTTCTGTTGTGCCTTCTTAAACTCCCCCCACCCAAATTGGCTGTCATAGTTAATGTAGAATGAACAGTAAGAGTTAGAAAGTCATAATTTATTACAATCAGCAAACCTTTTGAACAGCAGAAAAGTCTTCTCCCTAAGTAAGTAGTTGAGAATTTTTTACTCCCTGATGCAGATTCCCAATGAGAATTTAATGTTCCCAAAGCAAAATTTCTCTCTTTGAAACAGGGAAAATTGGCAGAGTAACAGGCAAAAAAGAAACACAAATCATAAACTTCCTATCCACAAAATATGTAGCAGAATTTTCAAATATTCCTAGTGCTAGAATGGTTTGTTCTAGGGACTTCTTTAAAAATGTCATTTTTACCCTTATTAGTGAGGTCTTTTTTTCCTTATTTTATGATTCCTTTGGAATTATTTTTTCCCCCAAAAATACCCTAACATATCTAATCTTTGTCTTCAATCCGGTGTGGGATTTTTTTTTTTAAAGAAAAAAAAAATTCAAATTCTTTCAATATACTCATTATGGTGAAAGACTATCTATCTATCTATCTATCTATCTATCTATCTATCTATCTATCTATCTATCTATCTATCTATCTATCTATCTATTTACTTACTTATCAGAAACATTGCTTTGATAATACTGGTCAATATACTTTTTTCAAATGTTTTGCTTTCTGAAAAAGTTTTGGTGAACACAAATGTAATTTCAGAATGCCTGTATCGCATAGGACTCATGAGAAATATGAAATTAACTTTTAATTACTATAATGTATTTAAACACATACAATTTCTGACATGCTGCATGAGTTCAAGAGGGCTAAAAGTGTTTAACTGATGCTTTTCATTGTATTTAGTGTCCATTGCAACTGTTGCAACAGTTTCCAACAATAGTCAGCCAGCACTGATGGAATCTAGTTGTCAAATAACTCAAGGTGGCAAACATATCAAAAACACCTTCCCCCTTTTTTTCCTCATGACAACAACCCTGTGAGGGAAGTTGGGCTAAGAGGGAGTGTCTGGCCTAAGTCACCCAGCTGGCTTTCATGGCTAAGGTGGGACTTGAATTCATAGTGTCTTGCTTTCTAGCCTGATGTCTTAACCATTAGAAGCATATATTACAGCTGCAGTTTACGCAGGGTGAGGAGGCTTTGAGGATTTTTGTTGCTTTAACCATCACTTTGAGATTTGGTTGCAAGGTGAAGTGCATCACAATAAACAAAAAAGAGTATTTTTATTTATGTTTATTTTGTTTTCCTTGAAATTTTATGTTTGTATCCCAACCATAATAATAAACCATAGTTATTGTTTTTATTATTTTTAAAACTAAATGCTATGACAAAAACAAGGTAAAATGATTCTGCAGAGTACTATAGAAACATCTGATCAGCCTACACCAGGTTCCTCATCAGGCCATGGCCTGTTCAGAATCAGGCAGCACAAGCTTCCTTCGCGCGCACCCACCCTTCACATAAATGGAACTGCACATGCTTGAGCATGCCTGCATACCACTTGCTGGGAACTATTCCCTCCCACCCCCCACTGGGCCACCAAGCCAAAAAGGTTGGGCACCACTGGCCTACACCAAAGCAATACATAGACCTTGCTATGTCAAAGAGATTAAACATCCAATAAGAAGGCTAGTTATCAACTGAAATTTGATCTGTGCTCAAAACATACATCAAAAACATACCTGAGTTCAGGCTAATATTTTTCCACTTTTTGGAAACTAAGAGTCAAATATCTTGTTTGTAAGTAAATACTTTGGCACTTCCAACTTGTTACATCACATTGATTGCAACAAGCAAATTCATAAAACCTTTCTTAGTTACTTGAAAATAGTATAAGAAAATAATAATAATAATAATAATAATAATAATAATAATAATAATAATAATAATAATAATAATAATAATAATAATAATAATAATAATAATAATAATAATAATAATAATATAACAACAACAACAACAACCACTAAGTTAAAATGGTGGCATCTGGATCGGCTGCAGCTGCATTGGCTCTCGAAGGTGAAATTTATTTGGAGGGATATTGAGGAATATAGGCTACATGATCAGGAAGGATTTGATGTGTTTGAACAATGTAGTGGGACTCAGCTAACATATGACCGACAATCTTTGCTGGCATGGCGAATTTTTGGCTGTTTCAGAACTATTGGTGAGACTGTTAAAAGTTGTTTGTGCTGTTTAAAATTGTTCTGCTGGCAGCAAGATCTGATTGCTGGCACAGTGATGGATTCTATTGCAAATCAGGGCTGTTTCTGAAGGAGGCAGAGGAGGAGAGTCCCAGGGCTTATGGAGCAAAGGAACTGGATGAGGCTGTTGGCAGGCCCTGAGGAAGGGAGAGAGGCTTTTGGAGGAGTTGGAGGCGGCGGCTAATCCACATGGAGTTCCATTTCCATCTGTCCTGTTTTCCATTGTTCACTCCCTAGAGATTAAAATGGATGATCTGAAACTTGAGCTGACCACAAACAAGGAGTGCCCTTTGAGAGCTGTATGCAATGAAATTTTGGTGTACATTCAAAGTGACATCATCATCATCATCATCATCATCATCATCATTATTATTATTATATACTGTATATTTCCTGCAATTAAAAAAATGATGTTTGCTGGCTTCCGGTTTCAGGTTGCAGCGCCGCGGTCGTGCGAAGAGACACTTCTCTTTGCCGGCCGAGTTTCCTCCGCTGGTAGACCCTTGATCCGGTCGAAAGTCGTCCTGGAGGGGCGACTACTTTTGAGGAGGCCTCTCGTTTGACTGCAGAAGGGTGGCGGCATCTTCTGCAGTCTGAGTAAGCTCCTTTGGGCCGACGGAGTAAAGATCGGTCAGTAAAATGGCCGATCACTTAGCTGCACCAGCCGTAAGCCACAAGAACATCTAAGCAAAATAGAACCACCGCAGAAGATTCGGTGAGATCTTTCCTTGCCTCTACTTTTCCTATTTACTCCTGTGAAAAGCTTTTTGGGAACTATTTCCGTATTTTGTTAAACCAGCATTGTTGATGGGGGAAGAAAAGCCTTGGAACAAAAGAAAAAATAATTTCTACTTTTTAATGGTTGATATTATTTTGGGACATCTGGGGGTCCTAAAATTCCCTGATATAGAGACTTAATATGCTAGTTATTTGAAGAATATTGTTTTCTTTTACTTTTCACTATTTTTTAATTAAAGAAAAGAAGGAAAATGGAAAAGAGGAAAGAAATTATTTTTACTGGGGTTTTTGAAAGACTGAATAACTTTGGATAACCTTCTGGGGACATCTTGTGGTGAAATTACCAACTGCAATTGTTATTTCCTTTTCTTGGACTCTGAGTTTGACTTTGACCTTCAAATTATCACAAAAAGGAAAAGATAAAGAAGCTGTACAGCTGGGTGGAGGCAGATATTGACTGATTGTTATTAAATACAGCCTCCACCAAAAGAATAATGGCTCTAAACATTACTGAAATGGAGGAAGCCTGCCTAGATTTTAATTACAAGTATATATTGTATAAAATTCTTGAAAATACTAAGCTAATAGTTGCCTGTACAAGAGAGATTATTTTTCAACGACAAATTAAAGCACAAGGTGAAAGTGAGCACTTTGCAGGCCAAGAAACATTAGATATATACCCAAGAGACCTGTTCTCAACTTTGCTTACAACTCACTGAGATGAAGGAATTAAATTCACATCTGGATTATCAACCTACATTAAAAAAAAACGTTGATGCTAATGAACAAATGATTTTTAACACAGAAACTAAGGATGTTACCCCAGAAGGGCAAGCTGATGTGCAGAATCCAATTGATTTCTTGACAGATAAAAAATCAACAGAAAAAGAACAAAATAACACTAAAGAGGATTATACATCATCTTATATACAATCCATTCAGATTTGGATGATTCAAAAGTGACTGCAATTAAACCATATGCAACTTCAAAAAGGATGGTGATTGAGGTCCAATTACAAGCTATCGAGAATCGCTACAACTTTGTTACTAGCCTATTACAATGGACAATGGGAGACTTTCCTTTGGTTTATGTATTCTGGCTAGAGATGAAGGGAGACTTATCTGCAGATCTAGAGTCTTTATTATGGAAACCTGTTTGGAATAGAAAGAAAGCTAGAATAAGATATAAATATGGAATTTAAGATTACAGTTATGGGTTGCAAAGGCTTCATAGAGATGCAGATTGATTTGGATTTGGACTTTTAAGAGGTGTTATTAGGATAAGATTTAGAATTTAGTATTGAAATATAGTAAGAATACACTTTTTGGAATAATAGATCTTCCTTCTTTTCTCTTTCTTCCTTCTGGTCTGTTTCTGTCTTTTTTTAACTATTTTTTCTATTTTTTATGTTTTTTTTTATTATTAGGCATGATAATTAATTTGTGGAGATATAATGAGAAAAAGATTGTAATAATGGAAGAGATGAAATTAACAAATGAAGAATTACCGAATAAGAAACAGAATATAGTTAAGAAATGTAAGAATGTAATGATGGAAATAATATGTTTAAATAAGAGAAGTTAGAGACATCCAAATGGTAAATAATATGTCTGTTTAAGGCTAAGTTGGATTTGGTATTTGGAAATTAATAATAGCTGAAAACAGGATTTTGATTTACATAGGTAATGGGTTGCTGATAACTTTTATTGATTAATAGAATTTTTATTTAGGAATGTATTAACGAATGAATTTTATTTAGAAATGTATTAATTTGACCATATTACGTTAATTGATAGAGAAGGAAATTTTAAGGAGTATTATTTGAACCATATATTTATGATGTTATTGTATTCAACTGATTACCCTATCTCCACGTTGGCTCTTAAGTTTCTTTGTGCAAAAATGGAAAAACCAATAAAATTGTTTGGGGAAAAAAATGATGTTTGCTATTCTTCTCTTTTCTTGTCCCTAACAATCTTTTTTTTTTTTAATGTGCATTTTACCCATATGGAATTTAGACATACGTTGGAGAGTTTTCAATCCAAAAGAAAAGAACTGTATTTCATCTTGCAATTATCCTTATTATATTGCTGTACATCAGTATAAACAAAGCAAACAAAGAAAAACCTCTGATTGAAATGATTATGTATCTGTTTACATCACTAGTATTGTTATAGGTACACTTAAACATCATGTTCCTATAAATAAAACATCATAGAAACATCAAATTTGAAGAAAATAAAACTTTTGGGAGAAATGTGTTTGATTTGCATTTGAATAATACTTAATCTAAATTAGGTAAAGTTCTTTATCTCTCTCTCCCTCCTCCCCAAAAGTATGAATCTTAGATGAAATTTCTTCTCACACAGATTCAGAGTAGTTTTTGAAAATCATTCTCATAATACATTTCCTGTAGCAGAGTAACGGTTAAAGGGCTGGATATTGGAAAACTATGAATTCTAATTCTATTTTAGACACAAAAACTTATTGAATGATGTTGGCCAGTCATTCTCTTCTATTTTAGCCCACTTTACTTGCTTGTTGCAAGGAAAATACAAAATTGTGGCTCTATACAAAATAGAGCCACAATCTAAACCTAATAAGTAAATAATTATGACTTCATGTAAAATGCATTTCATATATATGAAGTGGCATATAGTTTATAAAGGCAAAGTGTATTCTGTTCTGGCATTGCAGATATGAATTGCAAATTTTAATCTGATGTTTTAATATAATTATCAGCTCAATGAATCAGAACATGACATTACCTAAATATATTTTGATTTTGGAAATTGTTGTGAATAGTGAATAGTGAATTGGTGTAACAGTGAATAGAATTGTATAAATCTACCCCTGTTTTTCCCAAGCTTTTTTTAATTATAGAATTAAATGTGCAACAGAGTAACGTCTTGCAGCTTTTTAAATATTTTGGAATAAAACCATTATGATTCAAATCATGCAGGTATCTATTGTTGACTTGCATGTGGATTTAATGGAGAAATTTGGCCTTCTAGATGACATTGAATTAAAGTAAGCATCTGCTATAATAAATATGATCTTTCAATTGGTACAAGAATCTTCATTCATTTTTTATGTAACAAACTAGGCTTTAAGAAAAATTAAAAACAAGACATCATAAGATACACAAAAATATATTGTATAGTTGAAAATATGTCTTCAGCAGCAGCAGCAACAACATCTACATAACTATAATAATGGCAATACAATAACAGTTTAAGAATTGGTGAGTAAGACTACTTTTTAAGGAATTGTCTACAAAGTCAACAAAAATAATGTTTCATACTCATGCAGAATTTTGCTAGTATTTCTTTTATGGCATCTTTTACTGGTTTGTTCCTTAAACTGTAGATAACAGGATTAAGTATTGCAGGGGCCATTGTATAGATGAGAGAAAGGAGCTTGCCTAAAGAATCAGAATGCTCAAACTTGGGACTTAAATAAGTGAACATAGCTGTGCCATAGAAGAGGATAACAGAGACCATATGTGAAGAACATGTGCCTAAGGCCCTTTGCCTTCCAGCTGGGACAGTAAGCTTTGAGACTGCAGTAATAATCAAAATATAGGAAACCAGGATGAATATGAATGGGGTGACAAGAACCAGGAATACAGCTAGAATATTTTCCACATTATTTATAAAATTGCTTGGGTAACTCAGTCTCATCAGTGGAGAGATATCACAGAAGAAGTGATTAATAACATTAGAACCACATAAGGGTAGAGAAAATATCAACCATGTCTGTAGTAGAGATACAAACAAACCAATGACCCAACAACCAGAGACAAAGAGGAAACAGGTTCTCCTGGTCATCAGTCTCATATAATGCAAGGGATGGCAAATTGCCAAGTAGCGATCATATGCCATTACAGCCAGGAGGTAACACATAGCAGTTCCCAGGAAGATGTAAAAGAACATCTGCATGGCGCAACCCAAGAATGAGATAGTCTTTCTCTTTGTTATGAAGTGTACAAGCATTTGAGGCAGAATGACAGATGTATAACAGATATCCAGAAAAGATAAATGCCTAAGGAAAAAATACATGGGAGTGTGTAGAGCCTGACTAGAAATAGTGGCCACAAAAACTAGCATGTTCCCCATCAGGATAAAAAAGTAGAATATCAGGAAAACAGCAAAAAGCAAAGCTTGTAAATCAGTTCTTTCAGAAATTCCAAGGAGTACAAATTCAGTAGGAGTGCTACTATTCCCATTCATAATTTTTGGGTGCTTTTTCTATATGGAAAGAAGAAGGAAGTAGGAAGGCAATAAGGAAGATACATATTAATTTAGGACTTGGTCATTTCTCACATTTATGACAAAAAGAGAATTAGCAATGTGAATTTCATATAAATATCAGAACCTTACCTAAGGTGTTCACATTGTAATTGTAAACATATGGTTTGTACTTTTTCTAACTTGAAACAAGTTTAATTTTATTTTGCATTCTTCTGAGTTTGAAATGCACATGTGCATTCAAAATCCAGGTACAGAATCCATTACATCAGGGGGAAAATTTATATATACATTGCAAAAAAAATAGGGGAAAATGGAAAGAAGAACAAGCACAAGCTCCAATTCTGACTAAAAACTACTTTAATTTTAAGGAATGAAATGACTGTGTATTTGAAACAAGGCAAACATTAAATTAAAAAGGAGGGAATTATTTGATAGACAATATGGAAATGGATTAAAAAATGCACTTCAGTATGTTCATGATTTTTTTTTATCTAAGAGTAACACTAATAATCAATTTAGCTGAATATATTGCTTCAGGTTTGTTCCTTTGTTAGATCATGTAGGTAAAAAAAAAACCAACACATTTATAGTACAACTGTCCTGTTTCCATTTCCTGCTAGATAGATTGCAAAATTAATATATATTGTATTTAGATGAAAGAGATACAAAGAATGCATTTACTTTCATGTATCAACAATGTAAAGATATTAAGATAAATTTGGAGTATTTTTTGAATAACTAAATATTTGAAAACCTATGATCAGAAAAAGATATAATTATTTTATAGGCACAAATATGCTTTTTTCTGAGTAAGTTTTTCTCCTAAGATCTGCAAATATATGATAATTTGCTTTTTTATATAATTAAATACATTGACCTATATCTCTCAATCATTACAGTATAAGCATCAAGACTGTTTTGATGGAGTCCTGTTATATCTTCATTCATTCTAGTGCTAGCTCAGCTCAGGATATGTAGCTCTTACACAGTTTTATATTATCTACATGCTGATAGAAATGCTACTTTTAAAAATGCATGTGATATAATTTGACACATATATAGAATATTCCTGTTGTAGACAGTAAAATAACTAGCAAGACATATAAAAAGAATAAAAAAAATCTAGGCAGGATATAGTCTGAAGAGAAATACCTACCAGTGAAAAGCTAAGCTTTTCTTAAAATTTGAATGTAGTTTTCAAACACTCATGCAGTATAAAGAATTATTGAAGTTTAATTATTATAGCTCCATTTCTACAAACAGTTCCAGGCACTTCCACTGATAGTAAAACAGAAAGAGGAGAAAGAGTTATATTCAAAGCAGCAATATACAGAATGATTAATGAATTTAGCTTCTTTCAATTAATTTCCATTGGGACTTCCCATAAGAGAATGATGGAATATTTCAACAGCACTTTGATTTAACACAATTTACAGATACTTTCCAATTTATTTGAATATAACTTATGGCTTGGTCTGTCTGTCTGTTTGTCTATTTAGCTAACTAGCTAGCTAGCTAATTATCTCTCAGCTGTCACCTTATGCTTGCTTGTGCTTTGCTGCTATGTGGCGACAGACTGCCATGAACTGTGGAGAGGGGGAATGAAGGGGGGAATGTTTTGGGAAATGAAAGTAAGTACTGTATCTCCTTGAGATGCTGCCTCAAGGTCACCCAACTGGAAGAAGGAGGGGGTCACATATTAAACTATACTTGGACTGGCCATTAAGAAAACATCTTGCCTGAAACTGATTTGTTATACTGGGGTGGGCAATGAGAGATAGTTAAGGGAAGGAAAAATAGAACTTAGGGATTTTGGCATATGGTCTACCTAGATATCTTTCATCTGCCTGTCTATCAAACTTCTTATATAACTATCTGTGAATCTGGAGGTTACCTTATAGTTAGTGAGTATTTGCTACTTGAAGAAGAGCCTCTGAAAAACTGCTGCCTGGATCTGAGGCCCACCGGCCGATATGGGCCCTGGAAGCTTTTTCCAGGCTGCTGCCACCCAGAAATGGCCTGCTGGAGGGCTACATAAGCATCCCCTGGCCTCAGATCCAGGTGGCAGCAGCCTGGAAAAGGCCTCTGAAACTCTAAACTCAGCCTCTGGAGACACATGGAAGCATTCCCTGGCTTCAGTTTTGTTCTCTGTTGCAGAGAACAGAGGCCTAAAGTACCATGAGATTACGTGATCTTGTGTGATCTTGCATTACTTTAGGCCTCCAATCTCTGAGAATGCATTGAAAGCCTGGAGCAGCCAGTAAAGCGAAGGATCTTGATCTTTTGAAGGCCTAGTGCCTAGGGAGACCTGGGTGGGGGTGGGGAGGGACTGCCCTCCCCTCCCCCACCCAGGGCAAATGACTACTGTGGTGTGGCAACATTCGTAATTTCGGGACTTGCTCATAACCACTAGGGTGTGCTCATCATATAAGTTTGAACGAGTGTTAAGTGAACTCTCATAACTTGAGGATTATCTGTACTTCTATATAAGACTTGCAATAAAGTAAATAGGAATCACTCAGACTTCTATGTTTTTGCTGAATGAATATAAATGTATGCTTGTGTGTGCGTGTGTGTGTGCGTGTGTGTAAATAAATGAATCTGACATGATCTGACACAGATCTGACACAGAAATGTATGCCTGCATAAAATCTTTTTTTTTTCTAAAATCAAGCTCTCTTCTGTCTAATGAAAAGCCAGGAGGACTTCCGGTTTTGTGCCCGTAGTGCATGGCCATGCTAGCTAGCTCCCCATGGCTAGTTTCGTCCTGCCAGGGTGAACCTAGATGGGTCCGTAGTCGCCCTGAAGAGGTGATCATGTAGGAGGAGTTCCCCATTGATCACAAAGCAATGGCAATCACTTTGTTTAATCTGGGGTAAGCCCTCCAAACTCGACAGGAGAAAGGCTAGTGTGAGATCAGCATCTAGCCAAGCTACTTGCAGCCGAAGTACCAGAGCACGAACCTGAACATCGGTGAACAGCGTGCTTGGAATTAGTGAGAGTACTGATCTTCTTTCGTCTATCTACTAATTGAATCCTTGAGAAAGATCCCCAAAGCAAGAAAATCTCTGGAAGTGAAGGGAGAGGACTATATCCCTATTCCTTTACAGATGGAAGCGGCAAATTATTATTAAGGAGGAAAGAGATATACTAAAATTTGATTTAAAATACTACAGTCTGGAAAAATCTAGGAACTAAAAAACTGTTAAGATTATACCCCAAAGAGTTTTTGATGGAATTATAAAAATATATAACAAAAATAACTTTTTGATTGAAAAAAAAACTGAAAAAAGAAATAACTGCTGACATCTAGTGGAGAATCAGAGAATAGAATACTAACAATAAGGACTCAGAAATTGACAGAATGCCTAGAAATAGAAAAAGCTGTTCCTTTGAATTGCAAATAACCTTGAAGACAGCTTGGAATAAAGGAAGAGCCAGCTATAAGATTGAAAGAAAAAAAACCATCTGGACTATTGCTTAAATCTAAGAACTGTTTATGGAAAAGAAGAACCTTGGATTTTGGCTAATCTTTTAGAGGAGAATCTACAGGAAGGATTTAAGTGAACTGTAATTTTGATTGACTGATAAATTGACTTTTGAATTAAAACATTGGTGAAAGATTATTTGAAGGGGAGAGACAACATGGATATCACATACCTATCAAAAAATGACAGGATGCCACATTCAATATTTTCTCCTGAAGGACTTAGCCTGGAAAATCAAGGGCCTCCAGAAGCAATACTTCAAGGCAAGATAAATACTTTCCAGGAGAAAATATATGTAATGTTAGGACAAATACAAATGACAATAGACTGAAACCACGAGGAAATTCAAAACAACTTTGGTGATTTAAATAAGCATATTTCCAATCTAAATCTACAATTAAAAAACACCCAGGAAATAACAACGAATGAACAAATAAATCAGATTACAGACTACAAATTAGAAGAGTGTGATCAAATTGATGAAATAACAAATGAAAAGAATTACAATTTAACACAAACAGGAAAAAATATACAAGATTCTGATACAAGAAAAATGGAATGGACTATAGAATTACTAGGAGAACAATCAAAGTTTGGGAGACAGAAAGTATTCATCTTACTTACTTCACCTTTTGTATTCCCAACATTTGTAAAAACATAGGAACCGCTGGGTAAGCGGATTACATCAACTTGGAAAACTACTCGGCAAAAGAAGACCAGAAACAGGTACAAGAGATTTGACTTGCTCTACCAGATGGACTATCACATGAATAAACATTTGTTTGAATATGGCTAAAAGAACAGAGAATTTTGAACATAAAGGGGCCTTATAACAAGAAGGATAAGAGATTTAAGTAATATAGCATGTTCCATAATATATGAAATGTAAAAATAGCAGGTTGATGTAACTTTTATTAATATAAGTGAAATATAAACTGATTTAGGGTTGTTATATCTAGTTTCCATAAGACAGATAAAAAGTATACTAGTTTTATATGCATGACATAAAATATTGGGATGATGTACCTAAATGGGAAAATTTGGACAGATTTTAAAAAAATCTTTAAAAAAAGAAATGCTGAAACTTACATGCTTGTATTAGACATCAGTAAACAAGCATGCAAAGTGTCATCTGCAAAATTATGCTTTTGCATGCTTATTCTCATTTTAGCCTCATGGTTTTCTATGGTCAGTTCTACTGCTTGATTTGGTGAATATGTTGCAGACATGAAAAAGCTGTACTTTGTTTTTTTAAAAAAATAATTCCAAATAATTGGGGAGCTAATTATTTGCTAACTTCTTTTGACTGATGGAGATATTTTCATTTCAGAAAGAGGGAGAAAGAACCTTTTTTGAAATATGATACAAGTGCAGTACAAGAAGTGGAGAAGGAAAAGTTTTGCATCTCTGAACAGGATACCAGAATATGGTATTTGCCAAATTGAAATGTGGGAAACAAAAGGAACATTACTTCATTGAATAAAGTACTAA